TTTTTTGCATTTTTCCCCCAACCCCCCCCCCCCATAAGACAAGGTTTTGCATCAACCCATCCCCTCCGTCCCCTCAAAAGAAAACGACTTTCCCAGCCTAAAAACTGGAGCGCTCACCATAAACGTGACGTTGACGCCCGTTCGCACAGCGGGTCCGGAGCTCTCGAGAATGTCCGGCGTCATGAGCGGGGTGGAAGAGAGGGCGCTTCCATCTTGGAGCCACTCGCTGTAGCGTAAGTTGGACATTTTCAGTCGCTTGGCAGGGTCCACCGTGAGAAGACCTGGGCAAAGACAGGGAGATAAGATTTAGCCACAAAGACCACTGTCTTGCAAACTAACAGGAGCCTTTTTCAACTTAGTATTTGCTAAACAACTTGGGCCTCAATTCCCATAACTCCCCACCTGCATGCTGTTGGGGAATTCTGAGCATTAAAGATCAATTTATCTAAAGACCAGAATGAGGAATACTGGATTAGAAGACTGGGAAACAGGCCTGTATAGCTTGAAATGTGGTAGATCCATTGGGGGAACAAGGCTTCAATGAAAGGCAACAATTTCCCCCCCAATTTTTTAAAGGCTGTAATTATGGTCCCCAGGAGGGGAACATTTGGGGGATGCTAGGCTGTGGGATCTCACTCTCAGAAGGGAAGAGCTAAGTGAGAAAGCTGGGAAAGGGAAAATAAGGCATATCAGGTAGCAAGGGATGATGCAGAGAGTGTAGGGAGAAGCTTTGGATCAGCAGGATTCAAAGCACCCACTGGTCCTAAACATGATCCAAATATGCTAGTCTTGGAAATGGCACAAACTAGTATCTTCTTGTGGGTTGTCCAAAGAAAGAAAATTGGAAAAATTTGCTTCTTAAATGCAAAAATCCCTCAGCGTTGCTCAGACCTGGAGAGAAACCTCTGGTTCTTTCTTCATCATGAGATCAAGGCATTTTCCACAAACCCGTAGGCTGGGTTTGTGCAACGCACTGAACCTGGTTACTGAACAAACCCATTTTCTGGATCTGCACCACACTTTAAGTCATAAGCTCCACCAACAGGCTGGATTTGTACACCACGTGCTAAAGCATCAAACACTTAACCAAGGTTAGCATAGGGCATTATGCAAATACAATCACCTGATTTACCTGACCTGAGTTAAGTGTGTTGTGTGAACACAGCCAGAGCCAGCACATCTTGCTCTTCCCAACTCCCATACCCAAACACACCCCCTCTCCCCACATCCATTCCCCTCCCAGCACCCTGAAGTTCATCCCCATCACCTCGAACCAGCTCCTTTGCCTCTTCGGAAACGTTTTTCCAAGCCTCGCCCTCCAGGGAGAATTGGCCTTCCTTGATTTTGTGCATTATATCCGCGGCGTGGCTGGCTGCGCTCCCTTCCTGGCTACTGTGGAAGGGGACTTGGCCAGACAGCATGGTATACTGGAAGGAGAAGAGAAATGAGCCGAAGGCCTCCCTGTGTGACTTGTGGCCTGGTGTACCTTGAAGGGTGGTGTAAAACTCATGCACTGTGTCGAATGTCTGCTTTGGCTGAATGGTGCATTCAGCCCTTTGACTCTCAGAATCTCAAAACCCTGGCTACGCTTGATGCCTCCAAACCAATGACAAAATCCAACACACTCTTCATCTAACCAGCTTCCAAATTTGTGGTATATACGTTATCACTATGTCTCCAGGTCTCCTGACAGCAGAAGTAATCGAGCTGTTTGGAGGTTCTTAATACAGAAGTATTAGAGGAAAATCCTTTTCTTAATTCTTGATCTTAAAAAACGCACACATCTGTATCTACAGTTACAAGAGTTCTAAATCTTCACCAGGAACTCAAATGACTTGTACAATTGCAAAGTAAACGCAGCATACAAAACGTCTTGACAAAGACAATCGTAACTCCTAGATTTTGTTGGAAAGTTAAAAGGAAGATGAAGACATTACTGGGGGTGACAGGAAAAGAGAGATCAAAGATGATGCAGGTTTGGGGGGGGAGGAATGGGAAAAAGGAAGAAATCTGAGATTTAGGCAGAGAGATGCAGAATTTGCTGACTTCTTTCTCTGACCAATAATGTTGTTTTGTTCACTGACTTGTACAAAAGGTTCAAGTCAGTGAACCTTATTGTTCAAGTCAGTGAATTTATACCTTAAAAGTTAATGTATAAATCAGCTTTTCTTAATCTGGTGCCATCCAACTGTGCTGGACTTCAACTCCCGTGTTCCTCCAGCGTGGCCTTGCTGGCTGGGAGAATTATGGGTCATGAATTCCAACACTTCTGGAGGACACCGGGTTGGAGAAAGCCACGATACATGTTTTATACATATATACACAACCAAGTCCAACTGCTTGGATGAAAGACCATCCCCTCCCCTTTTGACCTCAACTTACCAAGATCACCCCCAGGCTCCAAAGGTCACAAGATTCATCGTAGCCTCCATCCTGCAAGATTTCGGGGGCCGCATACTGCAGGGTGAAGCAGGGCGTCTGCATGGGCTGCGAGTTCTGAGGGCAGAGGCGGGCAAAGCCAAAGTCGATCACCTTCACGGGGGCGCCCTCCGACTCATCCGCGTACAGAATGTTCTGGGAGTAGAGGCACAGAGAGTCATTGCCCCTTGAAGGTTAGAGAACCACACTCTCGTCACCCCCTTCTTTTGACCTGCCCTACGTGTCCAGCATGGTTTGCTGCAAAGTGGTCAACTGACTCGGCCACAATTGGTTGGAATCGGACAACGTGCTAAGACGTGAATCATGGAGGGCCATCACAGTTGGCTGAATTCCCCTGAGCAAGCCAACCACATCTTGGGTTAGTGTGCTGCCTGGACCTGATCCACGTACTTGAAGGCCACTTGAGATACTAGGGAAGCCATGGACCACCATCTCATCCCATCTTTTGAACTCAACTAAACTAGGTTCCCCTGGGCTCCCTGACAGACACTCAGCTTTCCTTGGCAACCAGCCAGCCTACATAAGCATTCACTCTTCAGACCCACAGTTGCTCCTACGAAAATTAATTTGCCATTTCAGCAGCCAAGTTCCCAACAGCAGAGGGACAAAGAACTCTGGACTGCTTGACATTCACTGATTATTTACCAAACTTGGATTCCCCATTTTCATGGGACGACAATCCCTTCTCTCATTCCTCAAGGTCACAGCAGTGCCTCCTTTGCTCTGTAAAGTCACTTTCCTTTCCCTGGTGAGTGACTAGGTTGTCCGTGAACAACAAAAAACTTGGATCGAACTAGAATGGCAATGCAGGGGCCAAATCTTTCTTTCCCCTGGCCTTCCCTGGATTTTGCAGAATATTTCCAGCAAAGTGCATCTAGGTACAGAATGCCCTATGTCAGTGTTGTCCAAACTTGGCCACTTTAAGATGAGTGGACTTCAACTCCCAGAGTTGGCTGG